GTGTCCACTGTTGCCTGAGGACTTTATGGTGTTTCCATAGTAATCATAGTAGAATGGCAGTCCTGCAACTGGATGACCAGAGAGGCTACAGGGAAGCATGGAAATATTAGAACACACTGATGATTCTCTCCATTAATTTCAGAAAATTAGTCCTACCATGCAGGAACTCTGGAACTGGATCCAGACAACACAATGGTAAAATATCACTATGGCATCTTGTGCTATGTGAACCCAACCACTGAGTAAGCTACTTTTAATAAAAAGAAAGTGAGGAGAGTTGTTTTAACTGCCAGAACCCCATCCAAACATTCAGGGTTTGGAATATTGCTTACAGATATATAGCTGTAAGATTAGTTTCTTCTTTAATTGCTGAAGATACATTTGGGAATCCCATTATATTGCTGGTGACATACATGCTGTAAATATAAGGCTTGAAGTGTATCAAGATAACATTTCTGAAGTGTGGCAGGCAGGCTTGCACTCACAAATGCACTATATAATCTTTCCATACAATATGAAATGCCTTGGTGAAATTAAGCAACTCTTCAGTTGTGAACTTAAGGACAGTGTTAGAGTACAAATGGGAAAAAGAACAAAGCAGATCATTTTCAAATCAGTCAGCAGGCTGTCCTTTGCAATTTGCAAGCTGAACAGAAGTATTAATTTTTGAATAAGGCACTCTATCTTCTGTTGAGCCCTAAAGCAGAAAGGACAGCTCTCAACCCTGCTAACACAATCTCTATAGTGCTAATTTTAAACCCCATTCACTTGCTTTTGATATATTCTGTATATTCACACATACACTGTAACTGAACCAGATGTCAGGAATTAGTATTTGATTCCTGGTTCAAAACATGTTTTGATGTCAGTCCTGCCAATACTACAGAAGGGCATTTCTAAAAGGTTGAACATGTTAGAACAATCAGAGGTAGATTGCTAAGGACTGAGGTTTAAAGGCAACAGTTTATTCTTGACCAGCTAAGACATTCCTAATCCTAATAAGATTTCAGCCTTCAGTGCTAAGGCTCTGCCCACTCATTAGCCTGCCTTTATTTAACTTTGTGCCTCTGTCTATAGCCATTCCCTCAGTTCCCAAGTTTTCATCCCATTGCATATCATATGTTTCTTATAACCCCTCAACTCTGACAACCCTGGGCAGGTCTCCTTCCTGCTTACACAATACTTTCCTTTCTCATGCCCACCCTTTCTTCCCAACCATGTCCTGCTTTTTCAGTCCTTAAAGTTGGTGTGAGCTTTCTTTACATCCTCATTCCCTGTTCGTATTTTCTGATGTTGTCTCTCTCCTTCCCCTATCGTTTTTCAGCATGCTGTTTTCTTGGACCATTCAGCAGCTTTCCCCCCTCATCTTCCCAGATGCTGTTTAGCTTCTTTGTTTCCTGAGATCCATTCCGTATCAGTTTTCCTGCCACTGATGTTATATACTGATATTTGTTCACCAGTCCAAGTATGAGCTGTGCAAGGTGTTGAATTAACACCCTAAACCCAGGTGTTAATTCTAGCCAAATGCACTATTCCATTTCCCTCCACAAGCTGGAATATTTGTGAATATTGTATTATTAACTCCATCCCCTCCTCAGTTAGGAGTCTGTGAAGATTCCATTTTAATTACTGCAGGAGGGTTGGATCAAGTGGAGTCATTAAAATCTTTTCAATGGGACTAGTCTTAGTATGACTCAGTCTAGATCTAACTTGGAGGCTTCAGCAGTGCAAAAACTCTTAGCACAGTCCAGTAAAGAATTCTCATCATAGCTTGGGTTAGAAAAAAATCAGCTTTCATTTTGTTGAATTGTTCTGGTGCATTTCATCACATTTTACTAGGTGTGCAGATTGCAAGTTTCCAAAGTACATGCATATATGCATATGCATGCGCGCATATATATATATATATATATATATATATATATATATATATGAGACATGCTTGTATGGTAATCCTACTTGAAGTAGACCCATTGAAATCAATGGGACATATGTCTGTTATGATGTCAGTGGATCCACTCTAAGTGTGACCAAATCAGGATCCAAAACATAATATTGATTTTGTCTTAATATGCATCACAGGAGTACCATTAGGGGTTTTCTTTTCCCCAGCAGGCCATGATGTCAGGCATTGGCTGCTCATTTGTCCCAGCCAGAGATGCAATATATATAAATAATGCACAATTTATTCAAAATATGCTTTCCTGGTGTGCAGTTTATGGGAACTACAGGCAATTTTGTCAAGAAAAGTATCTTTGTGTTGTACATGAATTGGAGCAACAATCACATTTTTCCACAGGGCTATCTGGAAGTGGTAGGTGTGTTGAATTGTAGCACTGGCTATTGTATATGTAGGCACAAATGATTACAAACTGTTGATAAACATTGGATTTTCCATGCACTCACAAAGATATTTGTGTTGTGAAAGCATTATGTCCAGAATCTTGCTTAGAGATCTTTTATTACAAAAGGAAATGATATAAAATGTGGGTGCATAAACAAGGCATATTCAATTGGTATTTGTAGAACTCAGGAAGAAGTGAAGTAGATAAAATGGTGCTATTGGCATGATCTGAGTGGGATTACTACACTGCAGAATCTCAGAGTTACAAATGCTTAGAAATGTTATGGAGTTTTTTGTGATTTCTAGATGTTCCTGGCTCTGGAAGCTCTTGCGAGAGTTTGTTCTTGCCATTCCTTTATTAAACCCCTGCAGCCTGAGATCATACCTACAGCTCTTATGCTCCATCGAGCCAAATACAGCCCACTATTCATATATTGTGGTTTGCTGAGAGGTTGACCAGTATTCTGGCAGACTCCCAGGTGGGCTGCAATATGTTGCTGGTGAGATACATTGTCTCGGTTCACATGATTGCCACAGCCCACAAACCATGGGCTGGGTTGTGGGTGATTTGCCAGTCACAGAAACAAATGCACCCTGTGCTGGGCTAACTTGTCACAATAGGCCATGGAGCCCACCCACTCGGACTAGAATATTCACAACAGCTACTAGCACAAGCCTCAACCCACCTGCAGTGATTCTGTGAAATGGCCCAGCCACTGGTGAGGGGCTGTAGCTCAGTGGTAGAAACATATGTTTTACATACAGAAAGTCAGAAATTCAATCCCCAGCTTCCCCAGGTAGGACCTGCAAGGAATCCCACTTGAAAGCCCAGAGAGCCACTGCCAGTCAGAATGACAATACAGGGCTAGATAGACCAAGGGTCTAATTGAATGGAAGGCAGCTTCCTGGGTGGCTGAGAAATTATCCTCCTTCACTCAAGATCCAGCATGTAGACTAACGTCCACACACAGGAACAGTATTTTGAAGATACACACATTCTCCCCCACATTTCTGCCCTGCCCTGCCATGTTTCTTTGGGACTGATGCCAGCTGAGTATGTGTTGCTCATGCAATTTTTCAGCTTTCTGTGCTGAAGTGCAGGTGGATGGAGGATGCTCACATGCAAGGCTATATGCATAAGTGGCCAATCTCACAAAGAAGTCTTCATGTAAAGGGAACATGTGAGCCCTGATTTTGCTCTCTCATTGCATCACAGATAATGCATACACATGGGCATGCAGCATAAGCCAGCTAGCGGGCTGCCTTTCAGACATCATACACTGAACTGATCTGCAGACAGCTGAGAATGTTTGGAAACATAGAAATAGAGCAAGTCAGAAGGGATCCCTTGGGCCATCTAGTCTGACCTCTGGCTCCAGCCGGCGCCACTCACGACATGCCCACCATGTGCATGTCCAGCCTATCCTTGAACACCCTCACCAATGGGGCCTCAACGACCTCCCGAGGAAGCCCATTCCATACCCTCGGGGTCCTAACTGTCAGGAAGTACTTCCTGGCATCTAAATAGAACCTTGGTTCCCTGAGCTTCGCTCCATTGGAGCGCATCCTGTCCTCCTCTGCAGGGGAGAACAGGTCTCTACCCATCTCCGTGTGACACCCCCTCACATACCTGTATGTCACCAACAGGTCCCCTTGAAGACTTCTCCAGGCTGAAAAGACCCAGTTCCCTCAGTCTCGCCTCATACCCCATCCCCTGCAAACCAGCCACCAACCTTGTGGCCTACGCTGCACTGACTCTAACCTGGCTATATCCTTTCTGTAACGAGGGGCCCAAAACTGAACACAGTACTCCAGTTGCCGGTGCACCAGAGTTGTATAGAGTGCTAGTAATACCTCTCTTGATCTAGAAGCCATGCTTCTGGCTATGCAACCAAGGGTGGCGTTCGCCCTCTTGACCACCACATCACACTGCTGACTCATGTTTAGCCTGCAGTCAACCAGCACCCCGAGGTCCCTTTCACAAGTGCTGCTCTCCAGACATTTGTCCCCTAACCTGTACTTATGACACCCATTCCTATGCCCCAAGTGCAAGACCTCATTGAACGCCATCCACATTGAATGCCATCCTGTTGTCTCCTGCCCACTTTGGTTGACCTCAGATTATACTGCTGGATTTGATCTTATTTATTTATTTATTTAGGATATTTATATGCCATCCTTTGCAAAAGCCTCAGGACGGCTTACGAAGATAAAATACAAACATCACCAAACATAAATAAATTATCGACCCACTCTGGCTGCGGTTAAAATATAATGGTAAAAATACAATATTAAAACTTATTAAAATGTTGATCAAATAAAAAGGTCTTTCTGCTTTCTGCATTACTAATTTTACTTATGGTACATGCCAACTTTGGGATTTCAGCTTAAAGGAATAAAAGAGATAGGCATAATTGGGTCATACTCAAGGCTGGACCTTCCAGCATGGTTATATTTGTCATAGAATAAGGTCTTGGTGCACTTCTATAGCAAATGTATTCTTGAGAAAAGCCCCAATAATGACCTTATTTGATAAAATGACAGTGATGATATCTGGTGGAACTGAGAATATGTTGGATTGGGATAAAAGGAAGAAAGTTGTCACAGGTTTTATTTTAGTATGTGTCATGCTTATGTTCATGTTCTTTCTCTTCAGGTATTACAACAACTTTACCCTATGTACAGAACACAAGGCTGTGACAGCACAGTGCTTTTGGCCTAATCCACTTGCTGAGGGCTTCATCACTGGAATCCACAGACAATTCTTTTCAAACTGTACTTCAGAAAAAGTGCATTGGGAAGATCCACCGGATAAAATTCTGATCACCCTGATTTTCATACCAGTAATCCTGACTGTTGCCATGATTGGACTAGTTGTATGGTGCAGTAAGAGAAGTGACATTTTGGTGTAACTTGGCCTTTATCACCATTCTTTATTCTATTGCTTTATTATTGTTATTTCCTTTCTTTTGTTGAGACTGACTTTCAGAAAAGAATGATACATTTTATACATCTAAGGGTTCTAAGCTGTGTCAAGCAATAAAGGGTACAATATTTCATTAGCCACACAAGCCTCCTGCCTACAGCTATTACATTTCAACAATAAAATATTGTTTTGATGGTAGGCCCCATGTCTGAAGACCATATGTCTATAATGGAAGCCATTTGGAGGGAACTGAAAACATGATGTGAATCTATTTTTCAAACTCAAGAATTAATCTCAGCTGTCAAAGTATTTTTAATGTAACATGTATATTACTGATCAGTTGTGAATACTTCACACACATGCACATCAAACAAACATATATACCACTGGCATTGCTCTTAAACTAAAATGTGACTATTAGAAGCTTGTAAATATGAACCTTCATGACTTCCACAGACCTTTCTCACCAAAGAGATATAACTTGAGTCTTGCTGAAGAACATACTTTTCTTTTCCTTCTGTTTCCCAAAGTTGTGTAAAATGGACTAAAGGAGGTTACAAACCCTAGGGTGAGTGAATCAACTCACAACATTATGTTGGTTCTTCTCCTTCTAAGGAAATGTCATTAAAGGCTCAAAATTGCCTTTAAAAGAGAATGTCTTGGAATTGGCAGCCCACAGAATGATTTTCAGGAAGGATGTAGGGTTTTTGTTTTTTGGTAAAGCTGGTAAAAAAATGAGAGGGACTTGGTTTAGCTGAATTAAAGAGGCAACAAAACTGTTATATTCAGCCCTCTCCCTTTAAAGTATTATTTTATTGTTAATCATAGGATGATTTTCCCCTGTATTTCCAAAGTCTTTTGTGCTTGCAATATGCTTTAAATAGACAAATCTAATGATAAGGAAATCCTTTAACTATGTAAGTACAGGTGCCTTTCAGAGTTTGTGTGCTGGGAAAAGCTTTTCATGTCAGGCATTTGGATATGAACATTCCAGACAGACTTGCACATTAAAGATGGGAAAACAAACTTCCATCAACAATAGTATTTTACCATATAGGAAGCCACATTTTCATTTCAATCTGATATGGCCCCCAAAACTAGTAACTTCTTTCTTAAAGTAAGTCACAAATTTACCACATTTGAGATGTTCTCCAAGCTAGACATTCCATTCCGAGCACTAAGCTCTTTCAGTCATAAACATTTTTTGTTTTCATACCTCACTTTACCAATTAAATAAAGCTAGAACTGCTTACCAGCTGTCTGTTGTCCATACAGAAAATCTAATGGTTATCTAAGATGCTCATCTGGTGCTCATGATATAACATGATGTTGGGAACTGTATTTGAGATATGTGTCCCAGCCTATGTTAACATGAAAATGCTCTTTGGGTTACTGGTGGTTTTGCATAAAGTGAAACTCAATGCACTTCACCAAGAGCTGCTGTTGCAACATGACCTCCATTCAGATCAGCAGTGCTTGCATATGATTTTTCAAAATGAAATTCCAGCAAACTTCCCTGTAGATCTGGGGATTGCTTCTTGTATAAAGGCTGAGAAATCAGGGAGGAGAATCTGAACAGATTGCTATCTCTTGTCTAGAATACCCAAGAAGGCCAAAGGTGTTCTTAATGGGATTATATATTGTAACCTGCCCAAGGAGCCATGTGGCTAATAGGTTGGGCTAGAAATATAACAACAACAACAACAAGAACAACAACATCCAAGCGCCCACTTAGACTCAAGTTTTCTGGTTTCAGGAGAAAGAACAAATATTAAGGGTATACAGGGCTGTCCATGGATAGGACATTTAGAAGGTTTTCATTCATAGCGTTGCCAGAAGTCAGAGACAACTTGACAACATATAACAACAAGTACATTTTCTAACTGTTACATGCACTATGTACTTCCCTAAGACCACACTGGCTGAGTTCATATGACAGGGAAAACAACCCTGCACAGTTTCCACAGTGTGTGGATTTTTGCCTGCACTTACTGGACAGAAAATCATACGGTTACCTGGGCAGTGATGTCTCTGTTTTCCCTGCTATCAAGAGACCACCCTTCATATTTGCAGCCACCATGAGAGAAATCCTTACCCTTTCTCTATTCTTGCCTATGGTCTACAGCAGCCTCCCCCTTCCCCTCCCTGAGTGTACCTGCTGCTTCAGCCTTCATGGAGATTTTTGTTAAAAGAACATAAACAGTTGTACCATGAATTCTCTCACAATATATTTTCTGACTGACTTCCTGTTTCCAAAAGTAAATAGGGAGATGGACACATTGCTTGGCCAATGGGAATAAAGCAAGCAGTCATGTATCTGTTGCTGGGGAACTGAGGGCAGAAGAGATCAAATGTTAGAGGGGTCAACTTATGCTGTTGCCAGAGGATTCTATGATAAAATGGCAATCCCAGGTCTGGAGAACCAGAAAAGCCATGGTGATGTATGGAAACCTTCTAACAGACCACTGATTCTCTCCATGGTTTCTGACAACCAGTTCAACCATGCAGAAACTCTGGAATTGGGTCCAGATATGAGAACAGACCCATAACAGTAAGACTCACCATGGCTTCTCATGTTGTGCAAATCTGCCCAGTGTCTTGTCTATTATTCTAAAATGGGGAAGACTGAACAAATCCATATGAAAGTATTCACCATAAATGTTTTTTTGAATTACAGTTTTGGTAATGCAGCTTCGCACTTTTAAAAAACAAATGAATTTGCTCTCAAAAGTTAATTCACCTAATCCACAGTTAAACTGGTGATGGCCATTGACTTACATGGCTTTAAATGAGAATTAGACCATTACATGGAGAATAAGCTCTCAGTGGATACTAAGCATGAAAGCCCTATCCTACCTCCAGTTTCACAACCAGTGGGCTTTTGCTGGGGGACACGGACTAGCAGGTGCTGCTGTGCTCACATCCTGCTTGTCAATATGGAAAACGGATGGACTAGGTAGACTTCTGAAATTCTTAATACCTTAAAAAAGCTGAATGCCCTTTGACCTCTCTGTATTCTGTGACCAATATGGAAAGTGCTATCTGCAATTGACACTTATGTTAGGGCAAGGCTGGGTCATTTGTAGTCCTCCAGGTGATCTGACCTACAATATCAATCAGTCCTAGTCAGCATAGCCAATGCTGATGGAAGATGAGAGTTGTAGGCCAACTAATCTAGAAAGCCACAACAAACTGCCCATTTCTGAATAGGGAGCAATTCATCTCCCTGTACAAGAGTAAATGTTGACTGATAACTGTTTTAAAGTGGCAGGAAAAAGAAGCACAGGTCTCTGATGCTCTTGCTTTCCCTACTTGCTCAGCATGTTGGAAGCTAAGTGCTCCTATTTATGTATCTTCTGCAGGACAATGTAGGCAACTCTGATCTTTTGCTCCTATGAAGAGAGGTGGAAAAGCTCAGCACTGGCCAATTTAAATGACAGTAGCACAAGAAAGGGCTACTAACTTTTGCTTCATCCCCCCTTGTTTGATTTGAATGGATGATGCCACTCTTAATCTGAGCAGAATTTGGTGCATACTGAAACATGTTTATGATTGCTTCATGTACTCACCTTCTAAGTTAGCCTGCAAGTGCCATGACACTGCAGAGCCATCTAATGTGGATCTGGTTGGGAGTTGAGTGATAAATGCTCATGGAGTTGGGAGATGTGTGTGCAATGACCATATACTTTCTGTTGCATAAGCTGGACCTTTAAAGATCTTTCTGAGCACATCAATTTCTTCTTGCAAATTGACCCTGAGCAGGACAACCATAGAAAAGAAGAAATGACAGAGTTAAGTTTGAGGTATGCCATCCTTGAATTCCCCTTTGAACATGAATGGAAATGCCCTTGCAATGTAAAAATAGTTGAACTGGTATCAATCAACTGACAAGGCCTCAGAGTGCCATTTGCCACCATCCCCTAGTCTAGCTCACCCAGGTCTTTTGACATCTTTATTCTCAGGCTGCACTTCATCAATTTCAAAGCAAGTTTTGGAAGATAACTTCAGGAACATTAAAGCTGTGAAAGAACCATGTAGTGGAATTTGCTGCTCTAACAAATGCTTTCATTTGTATGGTGACTCATACTGTTCTCAGTGGAGCTCATGAGCAAGACAGTATAAATAAATACACAGCTAATGAGGCAAAATAAGTTTCCCCCCCACTGGAGATGTTGAGTTTTAGAAGAAATTTAAAGATTGGTAATTCTTTTTTTCCACCTTCTAACTCCTCAGCCAAAAGGTACACTAGGCTGTAAAGCAGGGGTCCTCAAACGTTTTCAACAGGGGGCCAGTTGACAGGTGCCAGCAGTGGGTGTGGGCTGGTGTGGGGGCAGGGCGTGTGAGCACAAACACACACACAAGGTGGGGATGGGGGGCGCATGGGGCGAGGTGCTGGCTTGCTTGAGAGGAGATTGTTTTCTCCAAGCGAGTCCAAAACTACCTCCTCGCAAGCAAGCCGCACCCAGCGAGTGCAAAACCTGTGGGGCGGGCCAGTTAAATGGGCATGGCGGGCCGCATCTGGCCCGCAGGCCTTAGTTTGAGGACCCATGCTGTAAAGCAAAGTAATCCTTGTAGTCTTTCATGGGTCTAACTAGCAAAGGACTCCATGGTATAATGCTTCTGCCTGTCTTGCCTCCCCTAATGTCTTGGCCTGCTCTGCTCAGACTGTCCTGGTGGAGCTCATCTAGCTGCTGCCATTATCATAGAGGTGGTTACAAGCTTGGAGTGCTTGCAGAGCTTTGGATAGTGAAGGCTCTAGACACCAGGCCCATAAATCGCCTGCAGTAAACTAAGTGTCCTCCATCAAAGCCAGCAAGTCATGTTGGTGCCTTTAATATTTTTAGATATTAAGGCCTTGATAATGCAGAATGGAACAGCAATGATGGGTTATATACAATGAAGGAAGAGGCAAAGAATGAAGAATAGTGATACATATTGCATGCAGAAAGGATGGATACTGATTATTCCTATTCAGGATGGTGGTTCAGGGGGAGTGAATGATGATATATAAGCCCAACGGGGCTGCAGCATCACCTGTTACAGATGCTGTTGTACTAGAGCAGTATTTGCACCATTAGTTAATGCTATGTTTATGCCAAATTCTCTGCGCACTTTACACAACCTATAATGGAGAAATGCT